AACTGAAGACGTCCTTTGGATAAGGGACGAAACGTCTTCCAGTATCTTCAACCAAGTCCAGTTGCCCTTGATTTTAACCTTCGTTGGATAACTATGACCTGGATGACTGAGAATCTTCATAGACTTCTCCGTTGTGGCTTGTAATGGGGAGGAATACAACAAAACTCTCCTCTATACAGCCTTCTGGCGATACGTACCGCAGGATGAAAGTCAGCTGGTCCACATGAGTGATATCTGGAGTAGAGTCCACACTGACAGAGAAATACTTTCAAGTTTCACCCTGCGGATGACTTCATCCAGCAACTTCTATCCCATCAGCTGTATGAACTCCTCACATAGGCAGGGAGAGGTAGGATGGGTTTCCTCTGCCTGCGTTTCCATATTTATCAAAATGGGCTTTTAAAAAAGGATCAAACTGACTTATCAGCTCCATGCTACCCAAATAGTTGTCTTGTTGCTGTCTCCAAACCTGTCTCTAAAAGAAAGCCCCCGCTCTGCCATATATTTCACTACAGCAACAACCCTCTGTAGAACCTGTTCCCATAATTCACACTCATCATTAAACTGTTTTTTGAGTTCTGAGTCTACTATCCCATGGTCAGCTGTCTGGTTGATGTAAGCAATCATGGATTTCCTGTGCATGTCACAGTTTTCATGTTCTGCTATACGTTCACTTGCATGCATCCAATTAGAGTGACCCAAGCTGCCAAATGGTGACTTGTCTTTGCTCTCGCCAAATATTTTGCATGCAAAGCAAAACACACTACCTTGAGATGGTGAATAACAGCCACTCTCTGAGTAGATACTCCCCGTTACCAAGCTTGCGCTTGAAATGTGTTCTGGAGAAGAATGCTTGTAATGTTATTCTGAGGCAGAGAGGTCAGCCTCTCTATTCTGGCACAATTCCGGTCCCATTTTTGCCCAGTAAACACGCACCTGTTCGTCCATATCGTTACTGCCCCACAGTCCTGGGTCAGTGCTATAGGGGTCTCGCCCTACTGCCTAGTTTGACTGTGCTCTTGCTGCCTGCTTGTTTCCTCCACTTGTATGCTCCCCTTCAGCTGGCTCTTCCCGCATCTGGTCCTCCTCTTTTCCAGGTAATGGTCCTCCGGTCTGTCAGTGCCTGGTTGGCTCTGTTCCATGCAGCCAGTCCTCGTCCTCTGCAGCGGCTCCAGGTAATGGTCCCCCACCTTTTTGCTTGTCCTCTCCACTGTTCATCGGTGCTCCGCTTAATGAGCTTGACTCGCCTTCATTTGCAGGTTTAAAATCCTGTCAGCTTTGGAACCTTTTTTAACAATTCCTTCTCACTGTTTTCTTTGTTTCTTCTTGTTTCTTTTGCTTTCTTTCCAGACATTTTGATTTAGCTAGCCGCTAGCTTCTGTGACTACCATATATTTGAATATATTTGATATATTTGAATATATTTGGCTTCAGCCCCAGTAAGCCCGTGCATTAATGCGGGCTTGGGCGCATCAGTCGCTTCCTGTCTGAAAAGGACTTTGGTGCTAGCTATCTTTGAAAACTGCTCAGAAGTGAAACCATTTTAGCTGCCATTGAAAATTTGTCTGGCAAGTATTGCATCATCTGATCGTCTTTTCTCATCAGCCTTTTTTAGCGACCACCGATCAAACTAGTTAAAGCCATAATCGACCAATTCCGATCGGTGACCGATCGATCGCAGCACCCTTATAAAGCACAATATGATTTTGTTCCCTTATCAAATCGCAGAAGTAATTTAATTAAATAAGTATACGTATAAATAAGATATTAAATCAATATAAATAAGTTATTTAAGGAGGTTAAAAAAGTAACTAAGTAGGCTAACTTTTAGTCTGAGTAAATTTTAAAAATGAGCTACTTTTTACTTGAGTGAATTTTTATACCGGTAGTTTCACTTGTATTTAAGTAAAACTTCATTAAAGAAATCATACTTTTACTCAAGTAGAATATTTTTGTACACTTTCCACCTTAGGTCTCTTCATTATACTCACACAAGATTACATCATGGCAGTTTCGTGCAGTGTTGCTATGACGACCATCTGTAATGGAAAACGGAGGACGGGGCAACAAAGCGATGGGAGGATGGGATGCGAGGAGAGGCAAGCTGAGCTGGTACCATCCAGTGGAAAAGGGGCTATCTGGTTTAATGGATACCCACAGACTGTATAAAAGAAGTGGACTGTGACATTACCCATTGGTTTGTGGACAGCCAATTCACGTTATCTGCGAAACGCAAAAAGCAAAACATACTTACCGGGAAAATGAACAGCAGACTCCTACAAAGCTTTTTCAACGACGCTGGTTAAATTTACACATAGCAGCGGCTACGAGTCAATATAGCCTGAGCGACAGGTCACCGTGGTAGTGACTTGTCAATCACAAGTAACCCCGCCCTAAAATATGAACATCATGCTGTGTTGAAGACTTGAAACAAGCGACTGAGATCATAAACTCATTAGGAAAGTGTTTACTGAGGGAATAAATCAGCTGAGAAGTAGAAACATTTGACCCTTACTTCTAATGGAACAAGACTTCTTTTTTGTAACCAGAGGAGTTGCCCCCTACTGGCCATTAGGAAGAATAGGTTTAAGTTACTTCCACTTTGGCTTTACTTGTGAGAGTGGGAGGTTGCCGCTTGTGCACACCACAACAGCTGTGTGTGCTGTCTCTGTACCAGCCACATCAGCTTCTCATATCATGAACCTTTATTGAGCTTTGTGTTCATGTCTTTCTTTTCTCTCTCTCTGTGTATGTGTGTGTTTGTGGGTTGGTATGGCATTGTCACTGTCTTTGTTTTAACAGTGTGAAGCAATTTGTGTTACATGACTGTTACACAGAAGATTAAACTCTCTGCAGCTCTACTTTTCATTATTCTAATTGTCCAGCCATTTGTTAAGACATGACATTTGTGCTCAGACAACATTATGAACCAAGAATGTAAAACCTCTTTCAGATTTGAATTGAATATATACACAAAAACTACATAAGCTACAGTCAGTGAACTGACCTCAGAGTCTCCAGTCTACAGTTTGGACTCTCCAGTCCAGAAGACAGCAGCTTCACTCCTGAATCCTGCAGCTTGTTTCCACTCAGGTCCAGCTCTCTCAGATGGGAGGGGTTGGACTTCAGAGCTGAGGCCACAAATTCACATTGAGTCTCTGAGAGTCCACAGCCAGGAAGTCTGTTGGGACACATACATTACAAAAATAAATGTTATGAAAGAGGACAGTTTAAATTGCCACCGTGCATTTATTGACAAAACAGTTGAACACATCCTGTTTTGTTCTTCACACAGTGGTTCAGTGCGTTCGTTCAGGATCTCATGCGTTTGACATAAAACAATAATTCTCATCACTCACACTCACACCTGCAGACTTTTAATCTTTGTTTTGCTTTAATCTTGCAGATGAGGAGAGAACATGTAGTTACATTTATGCTTCCATTATGTCAGTGTTATATGGTCCCATGTCTGTCTCCACAAAGTTAGCATGAGGCCATCTGGATTAGAAAACCATTTTTACAGCTCAGTGAACAATAATAGTTGGGAAAGATGATCTCTCTTTGCTACCTCACGTCCACAGAAAACAAACACTGGACAATATTAGACATAATGTATATGATTAAATGTTAATATAATTAAATATTTTATTATATTTATATTTACATGACAGATGATTTGGAACCAGGACAGTGTTTGGAAAAAGAAATTTGGCATTTAAACATAAATCAAAATCATAAAAAATATACAATGTTATTTTATTTTCCTTTTAAAGTTTTTGATGTGTGTTTCATGTCACTCTTTTTTTCTGTTAGAGGTTTATTTTCACAAGCCAGTTTTTTTATTCAAATATTCGATCGTTGGGTACACATTCAATTTTCAATTTTAAGATTTGGATATTGATTTTCTTTCACAAGCCTGACCTCCGCTCACAGCATTAAAAGTTATGCTCCAGGTCACATCAGAGGGAAAAGAAAATGAAGCCCTCAGCTCTGTGTCAGCACTTTAAACTGAGTGATAAAAATAGCAGTTATGGGGTTTAAGAACATTTAGTAGGCTACTATAAAGTATTGTTACTTTCCGCTACCGGAAACAGCACTCATCCCGTCTGCTCTACCTGGACAGCCGTTCCTTTATCTCTCCCCCGTCAGGTTTCCATCTCTCTCTCTCATGTCATTGCCAGCATTTCTTGGGCATCCATTATTCTGTTGTTCTGCTTCAATCTTTAAAATACATAGCTGTATCAGCCCTGAGGTGCCAAGAGCCAAACACGACAAGAAAACCCCCTCAGAACTGTATTCCCAGTAGTTAAACTGGCCTCTGTCGATCTCGGAGGCTGTGTTTGGTCCCAGTCGGGCCGCCATTTTCACTCACTCAAAACTGGAACCTAACCCACATTCAATTACATGCTACTGTAAACGCCAATCAATATCTGCGACAAGTCCCTCCCTAGTTTTGTGTTTTTTAAAGAATAACATGTACATATACATAAGCAATTAGCACTCCACTTTCTGTTTCATGTGAACAAAATGTAAGTGATCCCTTTTTATAAAATGTACCGGTAATCCGATTACATCTTTTTTTTCTGTACTGTAATGGAATACAGTTGTTTTTGTATCCTAATTACGTATTAGTAATTGTAATCCATTACATGTAATCCGTTACAACCCAAGCCTGCATATAATAATGTGTACTAATTAGAGTGGTTCTGGTGTGGTTGGGTTTTGTTTTTTAGTGTTTCCCTGTGTTTTCTTGTAGGTTTGAGTTTCCATAGAGTTCTGGTCTTGTTTTACTGTCTCTTTGTTCTTTGCTTGGTAGGTTTTGTCAGGAAGGCACTTATGTCATTAAGTTTCATGATTTCATGCCTTGTGTATTTATGTGAGCTTTACTTTCTGTTTTAGATTGTAGTTTTGTCTCATGTGTCATTGTCTCTCTTTGCTTCCTGTGTTGGTTTCTCTGATTGTCTAGTGATTTCACCTGTGCGTAGTTATGTTCTTCCCTCATGTTGTATTTAAGAGGTTTTCCCACTCACTCTATGCCAATTCATTGTTTTTCATGCCTGTGTTTCTCCAATGGTTCTTGTGCTTCTGTGGATCATTATTCTTTTGTTGGACCCTGGATTTACTTTGGATTTATGTAGTTTCTCTGTTTGGACACAACCTTTTCTGTTGGACTAGTTTGAACTCAAGCACTTCCAGTAAGTGTGTATTAGAGCCCTGCATTTCAGCCCGAGCCCGACGGGCCCCGACTTATTTACGCCCCTGGGGCCGGGCTTCGGGCCACTTTTCACGTCATAGTTCACATGCGGGCCGGGCCTCGGGCCTTTTTTGGGTTATCCTTTTTATATTTTTAGACATTAATTAAAAGAAAATGAGAAGTTGACGTCCACGATAGAAAACAAATATAGAAAGACATTTCATAACCTGTTTTTAACCTCTCTTATAGTTACACTGACATATGACTGACACGACAGTCTCACGCACGCACGCACACAGAAGGTTTCTCGGTGAGATGTGCTGCTCTGGTGGAAACAGCACGAGACGCTGCTACCGCAACTGTCAAGACTGGCTCGCTCTGTGTTTAGTGTCCCCGTCAGCAGCAGCAGCAGCAGCAGCGAACGTGTCTTAAGCCCAGCGGGAAGACTGACAGAAGAGAGAAGGACGGGCTGAAAACCTTCCACTGTGGATGCTTTTTCTCCACGATGCTCTGCAAGAGACTGTTCTAACTTTTCATTTGATTGGACTTTATTTTCGTTTAACTGTTGGAAACTACTGGAAAAAAGAATGGCCATGTTCTTTGGTACATTATAAGTTTTTAATTTATTTTATTTAATTTGTTTAGGCTATTGCTCATTTCGTTTGGGCTGTTGGGAGCAGCCTGCCTGCCTCACTGTAGTATTTCAAAAATGTTGTTTTACTCACTGTGGTTTAATAAACAAACATTTATTAAACTAACTGTCTGTGTGAACAGACTTGAAGTGTTTTGTAGCTAAGTAAAGTATTAGCGTTGATTTGAGAGGCTAAATTGATCAAACATGTTTTACTCGCTGTCGGCTCGGCTGTTTACTGAAGTCAACAGTCACAGTCAAGCCAGCCCTCGCGCTGTTTTGCGATGCGTGTTTCTTCTAGGCATTACGGTAACATCGTGTCGCAGCACATTTCAAAATAAAAGTGAGCTTCTGCTGAACATAATGCAATTGATGTGACAGAAACGATTGAATAAATAAATAAATGCTTAAGACACCACAAGTATCTAAAGAACATATTACATTCTCACAGAAAGCTTACTACATTCAGCCAAGATTCAAACTCATGTAAGAAGAAAACCTTCTGTTTCCACTGATTCATTTCACTACAAAGTGAAAGCAGACCACCTCAGGGAGATCCTCTGTCAATATTAGAGCAAGCTGATGTAGGTTTTTTAAGTTACAGCCCTTGAAAGTGTCTATTCGATTCAAATTGACATAAAAAGGAAACTTCCTGTTTCCACTGACTCATTTCTACCAACTTTCAAACATCTCACATTGGATCTACAAAGGACAAGGTTAAAATGTCAAAGATGATTGTCAGGGTACTCTCACAACGTAAGACCTTTTTCAACAAATGAAGAAAACAACATAGTCCCAGTCTCTGTTTACTGTTTCACACCTCTGCTCATACTAGATTTCCATTCCTACAACAAACAAGTCACAAGAACAAAGACTGTGACTGTGTCATTGGATTGGACAGATTACCAACATCATTAATTGTTCTAACTGGACAAACTGTGGAGGTGGACAGCCACAAAAGAATCATCCTGATTTTAATAGAGGTCTCAAGTTTGAGGATCAGAAGCAAATACCTCTTTTATAGGCCTACTAGTAGTCGACTGTGTCGGTCTTATATGTTTTTTACCCGTTTCTGTCTTTCATCTTGGTCAGCTGGTTGTTCTGTTGTTCGTTTCTAAGCTTCTGTAGGCACAGCCCTCAGGTTCCCTGCTCTTACTACCATGTTACATTATAGGTCCACTGTTTTTTAATTAAAGGTTATTTCATCTGTATACCTCCAAGGATGTCAACATATGCGACAATAATATATCAACGTCACGAACATTGAATTACATTTTCACTGAGACACTTTCATAAGTTTAGAGAAAAGGTACAAGGTTGTTTATTAGTCATTTTACAGCACTAGGCTGCATAACAAAATTAAATTTGTAGTTCAATCATGATACACACAACACATATTTAAGTGTAAGCTTATATGAAAATATGGTAATATATTAATTAAAATAAATCAATATCTAGGCTACAATTAGGCTATTTATATAGGCTACATAAATAGCCTACATACACGTATACTTCCATCTTGACTGCGTTTCAGCACCAAGAGTAATCGATGTAAAAAACACAGAGTCCACCTCCTCTCATCTTGATGGAGTCTTGCACTGATAGCTTTAATTTGGCCCATGGGCTGCTTCTTGCCGTCCACTGCTGTATGTGAATCAAATGTGAGGCCACATTTTGAACAAAAAGCGCAGGTTGGCTTCACATCGGCCCTTGTGAAAGGGCACTAAACTAGAGTTGTTAAAAGTTGAAATATTTAATATTCTAATATTTTCACTATTCGCCAAAAGTCAAATTGACGTAAAAAGGAAACTTCCTGTTTCCGCTAACTCATTTCACTTCACAGTGACAGCAGACCACCTCAGGTCCTTGAAAGTGTGTAATATTTTGACTATTCGCCAATATTTAAATTGACGTAAAAAGGAAACTTCCTGTTTCAACTTTTAACTTTTTTTTCTGTGAGACTGTAATATTTTCTTTAGATACTTGTGGTGTCTTAAGCATTTATTTATTTATTCAATCGTTTCTGTCACATCAATTGCATTATGTCCAGCAGAAGCTCACTTTTATTTTGAAATGTGCTGCGACACGATGTTACCGTAATGCCTAGAAGAAACACGCATCGCAAAACAGCGCGAGGGCTGGCTTGACTGTCGTTTTTGAAGTGGAGGCTGGCTTGACTTTAGTGGCTGTTTGGTCGTCATTAAAAAACTAAAGGTTCCATAAATTTGTCTAAATTGACTTAATAAAGAAATGAAACATAACTAACTAAACTGACATATTTTAATGGCTGCCAATAGGGCAGGCTGTCGCTGTGTAATGAGAAAAACAAAACAAATAAAAAAACGGGCTCGGACTCGAGCTAGTAACTTTGATGAACTGTCGGACAAGGGTCGGGCCTAGATTTGAGGCCCGTGCAGGGCTCAAGTGTGTATGCCTTTTCTTTAAATCTCAAACTCCACCTGATCCATCTCCATGGCTGCATTTGGGTCCAAACCCCTGTTACCAGCATTCAGCCAGCAGCAGAACGTAACAGAGAGAGTATGTCACTCTTCCGGAACCTGCCTACCACTCAGGAGCCTCTGGTAAGGTTGCATGTCTTCAAAAATACTGAGTTCACCAGGAAATTCCAATAAACAAGTAAGTTTGTTTCTCTCTGCTTTCTTTTTTTTCACATGGAACCTGGCAGGGTTAAAGTTAGCTGTTAAAAGCCATTATGCTGATTTAGCAGAGGTCCACTGGAACAAGTATTAATGTTAACAGTTAATACATGTTGGCTAACTAGCCTGTGGTTGAAAAGGTGCTGACTGTAGCTTAAACACAACCAACTGAAAAATCTACATTTTATTCATTCACAGCATTTAAAAATCCTTAAGAACATCTGAGACAAAATACATAATTTGTAATAAAGAATTGGATTTGTAAGGATGTTATAGTTTTTATTTATTTGAAGAATCACATCTGGACTTACAGAGCCTTTCTGCAGTTCCTCACAGCTGGAATCAGTCTCCGTCGTCCCTCCTCTGATGTGTTGTACTTCTTCAGGTCCAACTCATCCAGAACCTCCTCTGACATCTGCAGCATGTAGGCCAGAGCTGAGCAGTGGATCTCAGAGAGTTTCTTCTTTGATCTGTTCTCTGACTTCAGGAACTCTTGGATCTCCTGATGTACTGAGTGGTCGTTCATCTCCGTCAGACAGTGGAAGATGTTGATGCTTCTGTCAGGAGAGATCCCATCACTGTTCATCTTCTTCAGGTTGTTGATGGCTCTCTGGATGATTTCTGGACTGTTGTCTGTCCGACCCAGCAGGCCTCGTAAGAGTCTCTGGTTGGACTCCAGAGAGAGGCCATGAAGGAAGCGGACAAACAGGTCCAGGTGGCCATTTTTACTTTCAAGGGATTTAACCATGGCTCTGCTCAGGAGGTCAGTCAGAAATGGCTCACAGCTTTCAATGTATCCAAAAAACATAGAGAACTTCTTGATAAGAAACTTTGCGTTTGAGTCTTTTTGTTCATAGTTTTTCCCCAGGAAGTCCTTCAGTCTCTCTGTGTTCCTGCTGGTGTAACAGTGGAACATGTAGACTGCAGCCAGAAACTCCTGAACGCTCAGATGAACAAAGCAGTAGACTGTTTTCTGGAGGATCACACTCTCTCTTTTGAAGATCTCTGTACAAACTCCTGAGTACACCGAGGCCTCTGTGACATCAAGACCACACTGCTCCAGGTCTTCTTGGTAGAACATGATGTTTCCTTTCTCCAGCTGTTCAAACGCCAGCCTCCCCAGCTTCAGAAGAACCTTCCTGTCAGCCTCCGTCAGCTCCTGTGGACTCGTCTCATGTCCCTCATCGTACTTTTGCTTCTTCCTCTTTATCTGAACCAGCAGGAAGTGTGAGTACAGGTCAGTCAGGGTCTTGGGCAGCTCTCCTCTCTGGTCTGTAGTCAACATGTGCTCCAGAACTGTAGCAGTGATCCAGCAGAAGACTGGGATTAGACACATGATGTGGAGGCTCCTGGAGGTCTTGATGTGCGAGATGATTCTGCTGGACAGCTCTTCATCACTGACTCTCCTCCTGAAGTACTCCTCCTTCTGGGCGTCAGTGAAGCCTCGTACTTCTGTTACCCTGTCAACACACGAAGGAGGGATCTGATTGGCTGCTGCTGGTCGGGAAGTTATCCAGACGAGAGCCGAGGGAAGCAGATTCCCCTTGATGAGGTTTGTCAGCAGCAGGTTGACTGATGACTTCTGTGTGACATCAGACACAACCTCACTGTTGTGGAAATCCAATGAAAGTCTGCTTTCATCCAGGCCGTCAAAGATGAACAACAGTTTCCAGACGGCGAGCTTCTCTGCTGGGACCTTCTGTAATGTTGGATGGAAAACATGGAGCAGCGTGAGGAGACTGTGCCGCTCATCTTTGATCAAGTTCAGCTCCCTGAACGAGAGCAGAACCAGCAGACCGACATCTTGGTTTTCCGAGCCGTCTGCCCAGTCCAGAGTGAACTTCTGCACAGAGAAGGTTTTTCCAACGCCAGCGACGCCGTTGGTCAGAACCACTCTGATGGCTCTGTGTTGGCCAGGTAAGGCTTTAAAGATGTCGTGACACTTGATTGGAGTGTCATGGAGGGTCTTCTTCTTGGAAGCTGTCTCAAGCTGCCTCACCTCATGCTGGGTATTAACCTCTTCACTCCGTCCCTCTGTGATGTAGAGCTCAGTGTAGATCCTGTTGAGGAGGGTTCCACTTCCTGTTTCATCACTTCCTTCAGTCACACGTTCACATCTCCTCCTCAGACTGATCTTATGTTCATCTAAAACCTCCTGCAGACCACTATCTGCTGAAAGAGAAGAACAAATATTCAGAGACTAAACAGAGAGCAAGAATCCAGATAAATAAAGTTTAGTTATAGTTTTTGAATTTATGATATTCATGATAATATTAAAAACCAAATGTCCCTGTAATTAAACAGAAAGTCCTGTTTTCAGACATGACGACATCAGTAGACAGATGTCCAGTCTTACTTTCTACAGTGCTGCTCTGACTGGCTGTCTGCAGTCCAGCTCTTGTTCTGGATCTGTCTCCACACTGGGGACAGGAGGAGTGTCCTGATGAAGCAGACTGGTCCCAGTATGAGGTGATGCACCATCTGCAGAACCAGTGTCCACAGCTGGTAGAGACTGGATCCTTCAGGACGTCCTGACACAAAGCACAGCAGGACGGCTGCTCCTCCACAGAAACGTGA